GGCATTTGGTTGGCCGCTGTGAAAAGAGGATGCTGGATGTGATGGGCCATTGGCCTGATGCAGCAAGACTCTTTTTGGGTTCTTATTGCCGTGAAGAACACCAGCACTTCAGAATTCACCACTGCAGCCACACTTGAGGTGATGGGGAAGCTTCATTGGGACTGAATCAGAGCTCAGCAGTGGAGGGTAAAGGTAAAGGGACCCCTGACCATTAGGTCCAGTCATGGCCGACTCTGCGGTTCCGGCGCTCATCTCGCTTTATTGGCTAAGGGAGCCAGCGTACAGCTTCTGTCAGCATAACTAAGCCTCTTCTGGCGAACCAGAGCAGCGCACGGAAACACTGTTTACCTTCCCGCCAGAGTGGTACCTATTTATCTACTTGCACTTTGACGTGCTTTTGAACTGCTAGGTTGGCAGGAGCAGGGACCGAGCAACGGGAGCTCATCCCGTCGCAGGGATTTGAACCGCCGACCTTCTGATTGGCAAGTCCTAGGCTCTGTGGTTTAACCCACAGCGCCACCCACGTCCCAGTTGGAGGGTAGAACCTGCAAAAAAGAAAAGAGAAACCCCCCCAACCCCCCCTTTTTTGCACTTGTCTGGAAGGCGGTCTCCATGTGGCTCTGAGTTTCTTGTCTCTGGGTTCTTTCCGGCTTCCTCCTTGCTCACGTGTATATTTGTAAACAAGCATTTTGCAAAAAAATAAATAAATGCCGTCATCGTCTCACATGCTCTCTGGTTGAAATACTGGCGCATTTCACCATACGGGGAAGTGAGGAACCGCATGCACAAATTTGTATTCTCACCCCCAACCCCCCCCCCCCCCGCCAAGAAGAGAGAGAGAAAGATTTAAACAGCTGGTATGAAAACATTGCCTGGCGAAACCGTTGCCAAGAGCCGTTCTGGGGCGAAGAGCGAAAATAAAAAGGCTAGATTTAGACAAACGCAAAGGGGTTTTCTTCAAGCTGCTTTGAGAAAGGATATGTGAAACTCTGAAGAGATAGTGGGCACCAGCAGAGCCAAAGAGAATGTATCTCTGGGGCATCACTGAAGGAAAAACCTGCCTGCTGCCCGGAGATTTGGGCAATGGGGTCTGGCCTGGCATGCCCAAGTGTTCCCTAGGGCAGATGCGCCTGCCTTAAATGGGAGTCCCTTGGAAAGGCAGCTGTGCAGTTGTGTGTGTGTCTCCTGGGCTCAGCCTTGAGCCCGGATGTCCCTGTGGTAGCCGTGGCAAGGGTGCCCTCACCCAACTTTGACTGCCGGATGATGAGCCATGTCCATTCCTAGAGAAGGCAGCTCTAGACTCAAGGACACGTGCTTTCGTTTCATCACAGCTGGACTCCTGGGATGCACTCTGCATGGGGCTGCCTTTGAAGAGACTCCGGGAACTTCCGAAAAGCCACAAAGTGCCCCCTGTGGCGATCTTTAAAATAAATAAATAAATTGATTTCTTTCAAAAAATTTCCATCTACACAATGTGAATAAAGACAAGAAATACAAATGTTTCTGGCAACTTTAAAGACCAACCCGTTGTTTTTTTTATTAGAGCATAATTTTTCGTGGACTGGAATCTACTTTGTTTAGATGCATGGCTGAGATGTTGCCCTGGCTCCAAGATTTTAGACCATAGCAACAAAAAGTCACCAGCAGTACACTGCGGGGACAAAGTTCTAGAGATCCTGAGAGATGGAGCTGAACCCTGCAGAACAAAGACTCCAGCAATTTGCTCTGCAAATTTGAACCAGGCACCGCTGAAAGGAAAACAAACAAACAGGAAGCGATTTCCCAGGGACCACACATGGATGCTCTTATTTATTTGCCGCCCTGATATGCTGCTTGACAAACGTTCTGCGTTCCCAGACAATATTAAAACATGACAACCAAACCACAGAACAGTAGATTTGGATAGAATTCAAAAAGACTGAGATATTTAAGGGAACTTCACAGATGTGGGGAAATGAGTGGCGATTTCTCTCCTCATTTTCCTTTCTTCCCGGCTGACTTCTCATCTGTGCAACGCAGGAAGGACCATGGCCCTGCCTCTCTTAGCAACATGGTTCTCTGAGATCACGGCTCTGCAGTATTTTGAAACCTGGAGGCTGGTCCATAGGCCCTCTTGGATTGCTGCAAGTCCTCTTGCCGGTCCTCTGACCCTGATGGTACCAGCTCCCTTTCACCTCCGATGGGAGTCCGTTTGGATTCCTGCGCAGGCCCTGTGCCTGACAGATGCTCCATCCCTGCAGCTGAGGGGCGTCTGCCAAGAACAGCACGTAATGGCCTTTTAAATGCTCTTTGTTGACGGGAACTTTTCCCCGCATAATCAGGGGCTTAGGACTGGAGCCAGCTGAAAACTCTGAAGTTCGCCAGCAACGGAACCCAAGGCTTTTGAGCAGAAGTCTCCCTCTGGGCTGAGAGGTGAGCAGCATGCCCTGACCCGGTAGCTTGCTCTGGCTTTACTTTTTTTTTAACAGCACGTGGTTCATTTCTTTGCAGTGCAGCTGACAGAAAGACAAGTAGCTTCAGGACTTGATGTGAGCCAGCACTTAACAGCGATTGACCCTGGAACCTGTGTTGGGCCTAGAATCGATCAGTCCATGCAAGAATAATAAGAGCCCCCGAAGCACGTGCAGAGTGCATTTTGCTTTGCCCTAAGTATCAGTCTCTCTCAGAATGGGGGAAGGTGCTTGTTTCACACTAGCTATGGCTCACAAGTTAAAACTCTTCTACATTTTCATTTACTGCTCACTAGTGTTGGGCGATAGGGACGCGGGTGGCGCTGTGGATTAAACCACAGAGCCCAGGACTTGCCGATTAGAAGTTCAGTGGTTCAAATCCCTGCGACGAGGTGAGCTCCTGTTGCTCAGTCCCAGCTCCTGCCAACCTAGCAGTTTCGAAAGCATGTCAAAGTGCAAGAAGATAAATAGGTACCGCTCTAGCGGGAAGGTAAACGGCATTTCTGTGCACTGCTCAGGTTCACCAGAAGTGGCTTAGTCATGCTGGCCACATGACCTGGAAGCTGTACGCCGGCTCCCTCAGCCAATAAAGCGGGATGAGCGCCGCAACCCCAGAGTTGGTCACAACTGGACCTAATGGTCAGGGGTCCCTTTACCTTTACTAGTGTTGGGTGATATCTGGTTTTCACAACAATGCAATAGATCACCAGCTAAAGATTACAATATACAGTACCAATATACAGTGGTACCTTGGTTTTTGAACATCTCCGTTGACGAACATTTTGGTTTTCAAAAGCTGTAAACCTGGAAGTAAATGCTTCAGTTTTCGAACTTGCCTCGGAAGTCGAACATGCCATCCAGCTTCCATATTGAGCTTTCCATATTGAGGCTTCCTTACTGAGCTTTCAGTTTTTGAATGTTTCGGAACTTGAACGGTCTTCTGGAATGGATTACGTTTGAAAACCGAGGTATGACTGTATCATGATGTCTGAAATAAGGATGGAGCTCTGTAGAGGCATTGGCTGGCTTCATGGCTTTTCCCACATTGCGATTTTTGCATAGTGCACACACACATCGTGATTTGAAATACATATAGCCAGCTCAAAAATGATGAAATCGATATCACAATATGGACTTCAAACCAGTTTTGGACGCTATATCGATATATCGCCCAGCCCTGCTCTTCCCAAAGGGCAGCAAACATATCTCCGATGCCATTAAAAATAAAAGCAAAACATTTTTAAACAGTTAAAATCAGCAAAACATTAAAACAGAGTGCAAGTGGACCATTGCATGATCTGCTTCTCACCCCGTCCGCCCCTGATTCCTACATATAAAAGAGCCTCATGCTTGTTGATCAAGGGCCAGAGAGGCTTTGGGTTCAAATCCCCACTCAGTCTTGAAGCTTCCTGAGAGACTTTGGAGCAGTCACTCTCAGCCTAATCTGCACCACCGGGTTGCTGTGGGATATAAAATAGGAATAGCGGGAGAGAGCTGTGTCTGTGGGCTTTGAACTTATTGAATTGCAACAGGGAAAAAAATGAGTTATTAAATGAGCTGTGCTATGGGTTATTAAGTTGAACAGACGTCCTTTGGCAGAAGGACTGAAAGGCGGCTGTGCAACGTGGCCACTGAGGATGAACACGTGTTGGGGTGTTTGCCAGAGTTCCCATCATGTCAGGCCTGGTAGGTTGAACTCTGTGGCAGCAATGAATTGCATGGTGTTTAAAAAATAAATTAAAAATCCCAGAATAGCTTGCCTATCTTGCTTATACCCGAAAGGGAACTGCAGGTCTTTTCTGCCTTTTGACCTGAGTTTCACAATCACATATCCTCCAACTTTCCTCAGATGAAAACAGGGACATTTCTCACTGCCCCACAACCGACTCTCCTAGACCCCCTATTTTTTGATGTCCCTACCACAGAGCATTTCCTATTTGAAGAAGGGCAAATGCCAGCCCCACAACCACAATGGGATGCAGCACACACATCCTTCACCATCCTGAGAAAACCCCTTCATCCGAATTTTATTTTATTTTTATTCTTTGGTAGATTTGCAGAAAGAAAAACACACTGCAAGAAATAAATTTTAGAAAGAGGCAAGATTAGACACAGACACTTTTTTTTTAAAAAAAGTCAAGACTCCATGCTCTCCTCTCTGCAAGGGTGTTGCTAGAGGGTTCATGTTTACTTGTAAGGAAAGTGCAATGACGGTGACCACTTGCCTGTCCTCTTCATTTGCTCAGAACCTAAATTTTGCATCTATAGCAGATGCAAAATGTGTGTCGTGGGCCTGTGCTGTGAGTCGCTTAAGTCCCGATCTGCTCCTGTGATCACTAAGCTTTTCCTTTGCCTACAAACCACTCCTTTTTAAAATTTTTGGCTGCTGGGTCCAGCTGGTCCCCTATTAGGACCACAAGCTGGCTGTCGATCTGAAGTTTTGCAAGCTAGGTGCTGTGAAACTGTTTGCTCCCTACCGGCTGCTGGATAACCTGCCTCCTCCTCCTTCTTCTTTTTAAAAAGCAAACTTTTGAACGCTTTCTCTTCCAGATGAGCGGACCGTGACGGAGGAGAAGGAGAAAGTATTGTACTGCCAAAATCCCAACTGCGTGGAGAAGCGGCGAGCCGCAAAGGTACTGTATTATGATTTTGCATGTGTTTGGATTCAGGGGGCTTCTGGGAAAGGGGATATTCTTAGATCTTGAGGAAATTGCCACAAAGCCCACCGTTTCCTCCCAAGTGCCTTAATCTGAGAAATCCAAAGGCTGTGGGGCTCAGTTAACCAAGACAAGGAGGATGAGGTCACAAATACAGAATCAGTTGTTGGCATTGGGCTGCGACAGGCTCCATCTGCACAATATGCAGTGCTTTGCCATTCCTGTCAACTGCCCCCATTAAATCGGGACATCCCATTTTTTGGGTGCTGTGCACACCCCAGACACATGTTTTTGGGCTCTGTGATCTCATGCAGGTCATGTGACATGCACGGGAGCAGGGCCCGGAAGATGCACCTCCCAATTTCTGGAGTCAACATGTTGGAAGGTATGCTGTACCACTTTGTAAACAGTCACGGCTTCCCTCAAAGAATCCCAGGAGCTGTACTTTGTTAATGTTGTTGAGAGTTTGTTAGGAGACCTCTTCCCACCCAACAGAGGTGCCAACTTCCAGAGTGGTTTAACAATCAATTCCCCTTCACAGGGTGCTCTGGAGTGAAATAAAGGGCCTCCTAACAGCTCTCAGCATGCCCCAACAAACTACAGTTCCCAGAATTCTTTGGGGCAAACCATGACTGTTTAAAGTGGTATGATGCTGCTTTCAAGGCATAGTGCAGACAAGGGCCATAGGGATTCAGACACAGTGAGCCTCTAATTCACTGTGTAACGTTTCTGGGTCCATCAACAAGCACCTGCAATGAGGAGTCATTTTTATAAACTAATCTTTATTCAGAGGATCCTCTATGACCATACCCTCCAACATTTCTCCAATGAAAATGGGGACATCCTAAGGAAAAGTGGGACATTCCAGGATTAAATCAGAAACCAGGATTGCTTCTCTAAAACAGGGGCATCCCTGGAAAATAGGGACACTTGGAGTGTCTGCTAGTCAGCATCAAGATTCCCCTCTTACCCACCTTCTGTCCCTGAATCTGCCGCATGGTGCCAATATATTGAGTGCTCCCCACCTGTCACTCCATTCCACCCAATCTGCTCCACATCACCACTGCCTGGTGCTGGCATCATCCAAAACATTGATGTCTGGACTGGGGGAAGATGGAGCGGGTATCACACCCTTCTTTAACTGGCTGCCAGCCCATCTGAAAAGTTTTGCCCAATGCCTCACTTCGAGAGTGAACTAAAAACGATGCGAGTCCCCCAAAAGTTGCAGGAGCTGCTTGTTGTTACATGTGTGAATTTATCCTGAATGTGCCTGCTTTATTGATTTTTTAAAGAAAGAAGCTGAATACCTACCATAGGGGCTAACCAGAATATTTAAAGTGTGTGTGTGTAGGGTAAGGGGGTAAAGAAAATAAGAACCTGGCTGCTTTTTCCCAGCTGGGTTTTGGAACTGAATGTGGGTGCCCTAAGTTCCCTTGTGTGTGTGGCTGATGGTGAGGCTTGTGCAGGCCATCGCGGAAGGCAGGTTGCGAAAAGATGCCAGCAGGGCCGTTCGGGCCGAAGTTTGGCTCCGTCCTTCCCCTCTGCTCTTTCTGCCTCTCCGCCCTTCCTCGGGTCTCCCCCTTACCTCACCGCCTTTCCCCTCCCTGCTAACAAACCGCAAAGACTTTTCCAGACAGAGTGGCAGCCTCAAAGCCTCAGCAGCTGGAGAAATGCTCAGCTCTCCCCCCTCCCACAAAAGGGTCAGTGCGTCGCCATTCCAACAAGAAGATTGGTGTGTGTGTGTAAAGAGAGAGAGAGAGAGGGGACAGCTGTTCTCCCTTGTCCGCTTTGCTCGATTCACAACGATTCGCTGGAGCTGCTCCCCCCGTTCTCTGCTGCTCAGGAGCAGGGAAGGAGCCCAGCAACACGATCTGCAAAAATGAAAAAGGGCAGCTTCGTAGGCCCCTTGAGCTGGCCTGTGTGTGTGTGAGGAGTTGGAGGAGGAAGGGTCAGTTTCCTTGAGAAGACTGTGGGGTGCAAGACTGCCTCAGCTTGTTTACAAGGTTATAGGTTGAGCAGGTGGGGAGGGAGGGAGGGAGGCTGACTAGCACCACTAACATTAATTAAGAACGTAAGAAAAAAGCCTGTTGGATCAGGGCATCTATCCCAGCATCGTGTTCTTGCAGGAGCCAATCAGATGCCTGCAGGAAACCTGCAAGAGCTCTCTCTCCACACCCCAAGTTTTCCAGCAACTGGCAAATAGAAGCATCGCTGCCTTTGACCCTGGAGGCAGTAGCCACCGATGGCCTCCTGCCTCCTGCAGGAGTGAATTCTGTAATTTAACTATGTGCTGCATGAATAAGTTTGAGTTCCAGTGTTATTAGAGAGGGAGAAAGAACTTTTCTCTAGCTACTTCCTCCGTGCCATGCATAATTCTATAAACTTCTATCATGCCACTTCAGTCCAACCCTACAATTAAGGTGAAGAACATTTTTATGGGTTTTTCTTCGGATGGGCAGGGGGTGGGGTGGGGAAGAATCAGTTCTGGGGCCATCCTTTAATTCAGCTCAGACCTTGCTCTTTTTTTTGGTCTCCTGACTTGAGCTCTGGAGGAGGTGGGTGGGAAATGGCACCACTGATGTTTTGCAGCTTGCTTTGGACTGGGGGCGGGGGGAAGCTAGAAGTGGACAGGACCAATTGGCTAGTGCCTGTGACGCCGTCAATATGCCTTCTACCAATCCCTAGGACAGTTCTGCAACTGGTTTGTGTGTGTGTAAAGTAAGGCTTGAGGATGGGCATTTAAATGAATAAAAATAGGTGTGATCTGAAAAAAAGAAAAAGCAGTCAGCTTTCTTGAAGCACCTGAGTGTTTTGACATCACATATTAGGTTGCAGAGCCCTCTTGGGCCTAATCTGAGTCTGCCTTTCTGGAATGTGTGAACTAGCTGAACACCAAACCACTCACTCACTAAGCCAGCCTTAGGGTCCAGCTTGGACTGTGCTGCTACCAAAAGCCCCAGCACAGATGGGCTGCCCCTGCTTCCACTCCCAGGTTATAATTTGTGTGTCTGCGTGCAAACTAGCCCGGCAGAATCGCCCGCTCTCTGCCTTGTCCTCTTAGCCTAATTGCTTGTTAATGTAAAGCTGCGATGGATTTAGAGCCTCTCATTCCCCTCTCCCCTGTCTGTGGAGTAGCCGACTTGGTTTCTCATTCTCTCTTCTCTGGGATAGCTTCCCTTACTTTTCTTTGGGACTGAAGTCTGGGCAGGAAAAAGAAATCCCTTTGGAGTCCCCCCCCCCCTAATGCCACTTGGGTTTCTCTCTGGGGCTATCTTGAAGTGAAGGTAAGTGTTTGCTAATAGTAGTCAACCCATATTCCCAGACCTCTCCCCCACTATTTCCTAAACCTTCATTATCTCTTTGGATGTTTTGCTGTTATGGGGAGCGTTTTTTGTTATTGAGATGAGGTTTTTTTTGGGGGGGGGTCTTGAGATTATCCGCAAAGGGGGATGCTCCATGGACTTTGTTCAGTCCCTGAGGTTGAATATGTGGTGCCCCCTCCCCCTCCCTTGCTGCTGCTACTACCAAGTCTTTGAACAAACTTCTTCTTCAGGTTGGTTAAAATTGAACCTGGAAAAAAATCCATTCCTTTTCTTGGGAAGTGAGTACTGATTTCAACATCTAGTTTTTACGGCAGCTGTAGGAGCCTATTGGCTAATACGTGTGATGTCATTTTGTCACCCCCCCAACCCCCCCGGCCTCCAATTCCTTGCAGCAGAATAATCTGTTTGGGAAAACTCTTTAGAAGCTGTTTAAAAGACCAACAAATTTATGATGACATAAACTCTTGGGGACCCTAAGCCTATTTCATTGGTTGCTTCTTTGGCATATATTTAAAGGAAAAGATGGGTGCTGAATGGTCATGAGATGCAAAAATTAAGAGTCGCTGATGACCAGAATTTAAATATATGCTAAATAGGCACACTTTTTACACTAACAAACTGGTGATAATTTACTTAGCAGTATTAAGATGAATGTACTGACACCTGGAGGTTAGCAGGGAACCATTCACAAGAGTGGGATCCCCCTCCCCCCATCTTGCTGCTATTTAGTTTTTCCCTTGGGTCCCTCCAAGTGAGATGGCTTTAAAGCGGCTTAAAAATAATTTTAAGATGTCAGTTAAAAATGCAACCTTCAACTAGTGGACTTCAGGGTTGCTTCTACATTAGGTCCAACTGAGGCCTTAGTCTTCCTGTGGAACTGAGAGATGCTGAGGGCCATGTAAACAACTGCTCCTATAATAGAGAATGAAATACCTAAGAAAGTACTTGGTACTCCTTGCATACGCAATGGCAGCAACCAGAAGAATTTATGCTCCAAGGTGGAAGGACAAAGATAGTCCTACAGAAGAAGAATGGCAGAACAAGTTGGCAGAATATGCGGAATTAGCAATGCTGACTGCAAAGATAAGGTATCAGTAAGAGACGGATATAAGAGGGGAGTGGGAACGCTTTGGATAATATTTAAAGATATGCAATAACCAGATAAATTTCCAAGTAGGGTTATACATGTGAGCAGCAGTTAAAAACAACCAGAAGAAGGGTGGTAATTAAAGCAATGCAGCTCAACAAGGTCAAAACAAGAACCCATGAAGGGATGTGCAGGGAAGTCCAAGAATATAAGATAACCAAAGATAACTGTATAATGGATATATCAAACTATGGAATATACATCTATGGAATATATATATATATATATATATATATATATATATATATGTGATTGCTCCTGAGAGCCCTCTCCAGAGCATATTTGGCCCCTGGGATACTGGGTAGTTATGAAACAGACTGGACAATAGCTCGAGTGTAGGTGTTGAAAGCCCCGACTGGACGTGAGTTCCGGCTACCTGGTGAAACCAGCGCATAGGGCCTCCTTTGTTGCCTCCACTGCTTCCTTGAGTAATCGCCCAGGCAAGTGGTGGTCTGAGCCCTCCTGACATCTACATCAGTGGGTGGAGCATGCAACCTCTTGGAGAT